TCCTTCACGTAAAAAAACATTTTTTTTACAGAATCAAATTTATTGTAAATTAAATGAGGGGTCAATCTACTGAAGGGTAATCAACGTCGACTTGTTAGAACGTGTAACCTAGGGTTATCGGATAAATTAGATAGTTTAAACGGTTTTGGAAATAAAAATGGTTCATATGTTCAAAAAAATAAAATAAGGGTTCTTTTAAGCAATACATAGAGTTTTTATATGGTTTTTTTTGTACACGTCCAACTACAATATAAAACCATTTCATGGTGTGAAAAATATGTTTAAAGATTCCTACCACATAAAATTTTTATTTTTTCGTATTTTGTTAGGTGCAAGCTGTAAATAATTTTTTTTACTGTGAATATAGACTAAAGATCATTTTTTTTTCACAAATTAATTGGTAAAAGAAAATTGTGATTCTCTTTTTAAATGACCTCGTTTAGATTATTTTATAAGGTTCTAAAAAGTTAATCATGACTTCAATGCTTGTATTTGATGTCATGTTTTAACAAAATATCGTCTTATGTCATATATGTATATAAAAATGAATAATAATAGAAAATATATATATAATTATTAATTATATACAATTAAAAACGTGATTCACAACTGCTCATAAAAGCTTGATGTTTGACGTTGCCACCAAATCATGTCTAACATTGTTTAGAACCATGTGATTTCATATGTGCTACATATGTATTGTTCCAGTTTGGCAGGTGAAACTTAGGAATTTCTTAGTTATTATTAGAAAACCTAAAATATTTTATTATATCTAAAAATAATTTATGAAATTAATCAAAGTTCTTTTCTCTTATGTCCGAAGTTCTCAACTCCAACCAAAATAAATTCGCAACTCCAACAAGAGTGACAAATAATTATATCCAAAATTCTAAATCCAATCAGAATGAAATTCTCAACTCCGAGTAGAATGAAAGAAGCTGGAATTTAATATTTGACTGTTTTCAAGCTACCCCTTTTCATATAAAATAAAAAAGCTTAGACACAGCCTGTTCCCACCTATTACTTGTTCATCTTGAAATTTTATAATTTAAGTGCCTGTTTTTCTGCATTTCTAATCATTGAACTTTATCTATTTCAACATAATAAATTATAAACACTGTAGTCATGGATACCAACAACTTCACTTTTTAGGGTTGGTAATAACTACTAATTTCGGATTATTACATACTAATCCTACAAAAAGACTAGTAGGTTTCAACTTATAGAAATATCAATTAACCCAACTATTTCTCTTATTTAAAAAAAAAATTATTACTGTCTATTTTAAAAATCTTAATAATGTGCTTCGTCAAATTTTAAAATAAAACCTGAATATGTTGATTTAATAGTATTATCTCTAAATATTATTAAAAGAGAACCCTTAATTCACCAATGAAGCAATCAGGGCCATTGATTGTGTTTTAATCCTATGTTTTTCATCCTTAGATCAAATTGCTGACATCATCTTCCCCAAATAAAATTCAAACACAATTACATTTAATTATAGAATCTGTAATAATTATAGAATCTTTAAAATTAGTAATTATTTTATCAATTGAAACATATCATCCTATTTATATACATGATATCAGTTTTTCTAATTAATATTGTTCCTAATTTAATTCTCTTATTTATAGCAAAATATTTAAGAGTCAAAATTAAAGTCAATATTATTCATAATTTATCTCCCAGTATATCCCACATAAAATGAATCAATTTGAAATAATTGTTTGAATTTTAAAACTGATTAAATAAGAAAGTCAATTAATTTGAAGTTTTGAATTAATATAGCTGATATCTTTTTTTTTTCAGATGAATAGTCGAAAATCTCCAAGATGATATCTTAGGATCCCAATTTTTTTAGAAGATAATCATTTCCTTATTCAAAAACACCCTATATATACGATTCACTGAAGTGGTTATTCTTACGATTTTGGATTGAGTCATATGATTTACAGTGTTCTTCTTGAGCAATCTTTTTCTCCAATTCTTTTTTCCAAGCTCTTACTTTACTCTGTTCTCCTTATTTTTCTTTAATTTCTTGCATTTACTATGTTCTTATTATTTGTTATTATTGTGTTCTTGTTGAGAAGTCATTAAAAAAATTAATCAATCTACTTTAAGCATATTAGTTTCATTCATTTAGTTACAGAAACAAAATTATACCCTTTATATCGATTTTTTAATATGTTGACCTATGTTTGTTAAGAGAAAGTCATAAAAGTCGTTTTAATACATGATAACAAAGCTAGTGGAACGGAGCAAAAGCAGGAAAAATAAGTTTTTTATTGTTACACTTCAACTTGCATGAACAAATGCGTATCTGTTGTTCTAAGGTTTTCAATAACTCTTTTATACATATTCTTATAATCTTCGATTAAATTTTCTAATTTTCTATTATTGAATTTGTTTATATCAATGATATTAGTTTCAAAATCACCATTATAGTACAAGATTTTACCGACGTGGTGTCACTTACGTTATTTGATCGTGACGCAAAGAAACTTCTGGAAAAAAAACACACAAGAGTTGCTTCAAAAGTTTAATGAGGTTATCGATATTAACTTCATTTAAATAAAACTAATTTTTACTTTTTGTCTGTCTATTTTTATAACCGTTAATTTTTTTCATTTTTAGGAAGGTAATATGAAAATTTATCTGTCTGCTTTGAAATTACTTTGGATAAAAAAGTTGGCATTCAAAATTCAAATTTCTCATTATAATTTGAAGAACAATGTTGATGGTTATGCAATCTCAAACTTCAATGTTGATAATAAAATCACTGTTGAATTGGAAAAAAAAATTATCATTGAACAGGTAACATTCTTTTACGAAACATACTACAAACACTACACTTATTAGATTCGTTTTTTATATTTTAGTTGATCAACTAACATATTTCTATGTACTACAAATATATGCGTCGTAATCCGATTCGTTTAACGTTTTATCGGCAAAATTCGGATGTCAAGACACATTAAATTTAAAGGTTTTAAATATAATATAACTAAATCTAATATTTTATATACTTTAAAATATTATTAACTTTTAGATTGACATATGAATTTATTTTCTATATTTAGGATGCAGTTTCGTTTACTGGTGATAACGTCACACCTGCTTCGAATCTTGATAAAAGTATTGCAACAAGTCCACTAACTAAGTAGACATCCTTTAAAAAAATGTCTAGACATGAAGAATTAAAATACAACTTGTAAGATGTTTACGATGTTGATAATCTGGAAACAATATCCTCAACCAAACGATCATTAACATCAATGACAGATCGTACTTCTGGAGAAGGCAAGTCAAAACTGTTAATTCCAAAGAAAGAAAAATAATATATGATTTTCATGATTTTATATGAGTAGTTGGGTGATTTGAGTACCGTTGATTTCATATTATTTTTACATACTATTTGGTTTTTGGGTGTGGTTTTTGATTACTTTGTTTCATACTATTCGTTTTTTGGGTTAGAATTTTGATCATTTAAATACAGTTTCGGTTTTATGAAATGTTGAATTATTCATCTATTTGCCTTTCGGGTTAAACTCATATGCATTTAGGAAAGATACGTGCTAACGATTTTAAATTTGTATTGCCCTATAAAAACCAACCGTAGCCTCACAGACCATTCCCTCATATCTCAGTAGGTCTTAATATTTCCCAAAATTCAGCTACAAGAAGTCATGGATGCACTTCTTGAATCAATCCTCTAAACCGAATTTCATTTGTTAGTTGGATGTAGTGACCAAAATGCAAGATTTGTGAAAGTTCATTATTATTTATTAGTGTTAACCTTTAGCAAATTATGAAACTGATATTATATTTTTGTTCATAACATGTTTTTTTTTGTAATAATTTATTTGATCGGAAGATATGTATATATGATTGGGTGTAGCCTGAAAAATCATATTTTAATTTTAATAAAGAAAAAATACTTTGAAATCGACCAAATTACAATGTCTGAATTTTATGTTTATGGTTATGACAATTCACTTTATTTGTAATGTTTATCGAATTCCTTTGCAGAATTTAATGTTGTTGGTACATGTAACAACTTATTGTTGCTTTTGGTTTTACAGAGTCAATATGAAAAGAGTCATATGAGCCTCCATGGGGTTGGTACACCGAACAAAGTCAATTCATAAAGCTACTACACAACATGTTTTAATCAAGAAGTTGCATTATGTTGTGATAAAACAAAGATCACATAGATCATTTATGTTAAAAATTACTGTATTAAAAAATCAAATTGTTCTAATATAAATATTAAATATTTTTGTCTCATAAGTTTGGTTCAAAAACTCTAAAAATGAATGTAACTAATATTTTTTTATTAAAATTCAATCTAAGACAAAGTCACCTATTAATGTGATATGTATTTAATTTATGTTCCCCGCGTTTAACGCGGGTCATAATCTAGTTATACACTATACCAAATTTTAAATATAAAAAATACACAAGCATCCCGCTTTGAATGATGGAACGTGACTTCATAGGTGGAATCATCAGTATTTATAGAAATCATGAAAAATGTAAAATCAGTGTTGATGAAAAGTGATATTGTATTTTGGTTGGCTTCTATGAATTCAAAGCAGATTAGATACACATTGAAAGATCCGAAAATAAAAGAATTGTTTCCTATTTCAGTGACATATATTTGATATATGAAATTTGGAAGTGTTTAGTATACAACACAAATTACTATGTATAAAGAAAAAAATTACCGTGTACATGTAAGCTGCCATTTCATATATCAAAACAAAACATTTAACCCATCATTTATTTTGCACAAGTAAAGAACACGGAAATTCTTAATAAAGTTTCAAAATCGACCATAACAAGTAAAACTCACCTCTCTGACATTAAAAATGTAAAAAAGAAAAAAAAATCAATACAAAATGAAAATTTATAAATCTTGTTTTCAATATATTTTTTCATGAAAAAAAAAAACCACTATACAATAAAAAATTCATGAAAAATTGCCACTGTGAAAGTTAATCACAGCAAACTGGACATCTAATTAGTCCATTTTCATTGCAATCGGGACATCTTTGAAACCCATAATCATTTTCTTCTTTTTCTTCATCATCTACTTCTTCATCATCAGATTCATCGTCATAATAAATCTTACAGCTTCCAGAACACGTCTCACATGGTAAAAATCTAATATCACCGCAAGCCTCACAGCCACCAACTCCACCACCACCGACATAGCCACCGCCATCCATCATTTCACAACCTTCCAACGCCTTCTCAAGGTGCCCATCTTCATGTAATCGCCGGATTTCAGCAGCACCACCAATACATTTAATTCCGATGAAGACTTTAGGCAATCCACCACCAATAAAACCACCCAATAATTCTTTCAATTCCTCCTTGAAACCCGAATGCATCGATACATCACGCTCGTCAACACGAACTCCGGTTGCCTTTAAGATGTGTCTGACATGGCAGCAATCCTCGTACGTCTTCCTAACTCCTCGTAAGCTAGTGAAGTACAAAACTAACTTTTCTTGGACACGTGGAGGACTGATGTTTTTACCATCACCGAAAAAGCCGTTTTGTAAAGATTTCTTGGAATTCGTTATGTCCAATGAATCATCATCACCGTAGCCGTCTGAGGACGGCGGATCCTTCTCGTCGATCGATGGCTTTAGGTGAAATGGGTTCGCCGGAGGTAGTAACTCTAGTGATTTTCTGAATGAAGAAATTACCTCAGTATCAAAATCCGATGCCACCGATGTGTCGTTTGAATCGAAAAGGGAATTCGAATCTGAGGAGTTGTTCTCTGGTATTGGTAGACATAGTGGTTTGCCGGAGACTTCAGTTTGTCGATCTTGTTCTCGGAATTCTGTTGCAGATTCACCGAAGGATGTAAAGGAATTGGGATTAACATGAAATGAGAAGCTACGGATGTGATTCGCGGCGGATTTTGGTCGGAGTGGGCTTGTATCATCCAAACCTTCCATCAATTCCCACGCATTGATCGTTTCCGGCTCGCCGGGAGGCGTTCTGATGGGTGTTCTGGGGATGATTTTGGGGATTTTTTCTTCGATCATCTTCGACCATGTCTTGGCGTCAATCACGCCGACTGCAAATTCGTTACTTTCCTTATCATGTATCTCATTTTGTCGGAGAGGATCTTGATGAATCTGTACGACGCCTGGATTTTTCGCACTGCGAGCCTCATTGGAGTTCGATGGATCGAGCTGAAGGTATCCGAGAGTGGTGGATTTAAGAGCAACGACATGGTAGCTGTCGCCGTCGCTCTGAGGCGGGTGGTGGACGTGCATTGAATAGCTTCGGGTAATCGGAGCACATGGCCCTTTACAGTTCCGGCACACCGGTCGTTGCTTCGATGTCGCGCAACCCATTTTTACCAAAATCCCACCAAACAGATTGAAAATAGAATCAAACGCAGATAAGAACACTCTGTAATTCTGTATATAACGATTAAACTAATGAAATTGAACAAAATCTTTCTGTGTGTGGATGTGGTCGTTGATGATAGGTGGATAGAAGATTAAGGAAAGAATATTCCCCAATTCGAATGAAGAAAATGTAAAAAATACTCAAACCCAGAAGATTCTAATCAATCCGGATCACCATATTGATCTGCATTAAAGATATAAAAAGTGATCGATCAATTAAAATTGTGTTTATCGAGTAAACTAAATCGGAGATTTCATTCAATTCTCACGAAACCCTCGTGTATATATTATAGGATAATAATTCACACTCCAAATTACAGATGAGAGTGAAAAGATATTCAAATGTAAAGATGAAGAAAAGAAATTGGCGATTGTGAAGATGAAATAATCATCAAGAACTGGTGGGAGAATGAGTGGTGATAACAACACTCCAACACCGGCTTTAGCCTTCAAGTCGTGGGGGGCATATCAATAAAAAAAATATTAATAAAAAAATATTTAAAAATAAAAAAACACACACAGTAAAACACCTTATAGTGTGTGAGATAGAGGAAACGTGTAAAGCGGGAATTATTCCATAAAAATGACTCTTTCCTTTCTTATTTCTTTTACAAGTACCCACTCACCCGCTAAAAGGGACGAGCTTAAAGGGTATGAAATGATCGTTTTCTTCTACACCACTACTTGCATCTTCTAAGCGCGTGCCCTCACGATTTGGCCTATGTTTTTCATTTACACCGATTACGTTGACATATAGATTGTATGATGTTTGAAGTTTTACCTCTCTTTAGTGATTAAAGTTATTTATAGCAACTTACAAGCTTTAAATGAATACTTTTGGAAAGGCGAACCATATTAAGGCGCGTGACGATTTTGTTTTTAGCAATATGTTACGGAAGTCCCATTAGAATGAGACATGAGATATATGTTTACAGTCAAGTCTCCAACAAAAATGAGCGTCATGGATAACCTCTTACATGTTCAAAAAACAAGTACCTTCAAATAAGTCAAAAATAACAGAGGGAATAGGTCTAAGGCTTAGAGTATACATTCTCATTACCTCTTATTTTTTGTTGATCACCTCATCATCACGTCGTTTTTTCACTATCATCCCCTCATCCCTCACTTATATGAAATGGTCACTTTCACTCCTCTCAAAATATACATCAATAGGATGTTGTATTGTACAGTAATGTGAAACATGAAAAAGGTGAAAGAGTCACATTGCTTTTTTCTTCCACAGGAAACTTCACTGCACCACCACACACCAGATGGTGACAGGTTACCTCATCGCTGGATGCGAGGCTTGTATTCAGTTGGGACTAAGTTAGCACTAAAACAAAAACAAGAGTAATCGAAGTGTATGTGTATGAATATGTGACCCTCCATATAAGACATGTAATAGTTTTATTTTCAAGTATTTAAATCAAGGTAAATCATGTATTTCTTATCTTTTTGTTGTAGTTATATATTAAATATTTTATATCTCATTTGTATAATATTTAAAATATTATAAATTGCGTAAATCAATTTGCAACGTAAAATCGCACCCTTTCATTTATTCACTTCCTAACAAGGTTGGTTTGATACTTTGATATTAAAAACATAAATACTCTATCGCTTTTATAACACATCATTACATGTTGATAGACAGTGTTCCTTTAATATACAACCTCACATATCGTATTGTTGACGTTTTCATTTTGTTTATGCACGCAACTGAGTTGTTATCTATATTGAATCACCGACAACTTTTTCAATTTTTTTTACCAAATTTTATTTATATTTATATTTTTTGAACGACTAACATGCCACCTCAAAATTCAATATATCATACTAACTGGTCACCAATAAATCACTTTGATGGTCAGGAATGCCAATCTTTTATTGGTTTATGCTCACTTAAAAATCTTTTATAGCAAATGGCTACCACTTGATGGTGGGGGTTTTCTTTTTAAAACTATTTCAATGTTGTAGTTTTATATTTTGTCCTCCTTTCTTTATCCAATTTCTTTGTAGTGAAAGGTGATGGAAAACAATGTCTTTATTGAAATACCAAAAACACCTTTCACTGTTTCGATCCTGAATGTTGATTGATTATCGTGATTTGGAGCACTAAGTTGATGATTGTATTTAAAAGGGGTTGATTGTACAAATGGATGGGACCAAGTTGGAATTCATTCTTTTTGTTTGTAAATGAAGTGGTGGGCAGCACGAGTGGTTGCGGAGCGTGGAACTTACAATATAAGGAGCGGCTCAGGTTTCTAAAGTCCTCCGACGGCCGACGACCCTTTGAAAATGATCCGTGATATATGAAACTTTTGCTTATTTTAGTATTTTACATGTTCAAAATTGTATCCATGATGTATAAATTAATAAAGTAAACTGAAGAAAAAAAAAAGAACAATGGTCTAACCAAATTAAAAAGAAGAAAAACAAAAATGATCACATTTTTAAATTATTTTGTTTGCACAACTCAGAATATTTTAATAAACTTGACTGATGTGAAACCAATTTTTGCTACGAAATTGCTTTTTTAAAGTTTTGACCACAAAAAACTTTGAAAAATTTAATGAAATATCATAATAACTTCGTGATATATGACGTCTTTATTTTTATTAGTTTTTTAAGAGTTTTTTGATGATAGACATTTAAAAAATATTTTCGCAATGTAATTTTACAGTGATGTAAATACGGAATATGTACCCATCTTATGTATAAAATAAAACGAAAAATGGTTATTTTTTAAAGAAAACTTCCTCCATTTTAATCTCCTTTTGTTGTGATTTTCTCTCGAAAAAATAATTACAAGTTAACGACTATGTTAGACAAAATTTGTTGTGGTTACGAATTGTTATTGTGAGTAATAAAAACCAGCTATATAAAAATGTTTAAAAATAGTAATGGTAATTATAATTTGTAGCTCTGAAATTATAATTTTACATAAAACGTAACACTCGTAATATAGAACACAAAATCTCAAACACTTTGTTGTAGCTGCAAATGCAACACTCGTAATTCAGAAAACAACAATCTCAAAAACATTTTAATTTAATTAATACATGTTTCATCCATGGGTTAATGTCATAAAATCCTCAGGTTTTTATTGGTTTTGCCCGAAGTTGAATTTTATGTCTGTTTTTATCCTTATATTTTCCAAGAAATGTTCGTTTTATCCATTTACCAGTGATAACAAATTTTTCAAGTTACCATTATACTAATTTCGCAAAAAAAAAAAAAAAAAAAAACCCTTAAGTTTATAGTTATTTTACGTTTTTACAATAAGTTTTTTTTTCATATTATACGTATTTATGAAGAAGAATCTTATTTTATAAACGAAAAAATATTTAATTAAATATTGTGTTTACGTTTTTTTAAATGTTATTATATATATATATATATATATACCATTGGGACCATTTATGTAACTTTATATAATTTCATTGATCTTTAAATTTTAATCATATAAAACTCTAAAAAGTTAAAATATATTCCCGTTATCATAAGTAACAATTTGCATTACGGTAACTATTATACTTTTCTAATAAGTTTTTGTAATATTTATAATTAACTATGTGTGAGACCCGTGTATTATACGAGTTTATAAAAAAAAGTTTGGTATAAAGTTATAAGCATTACATAATAGTTTTACATAAATACAAAAGATATAATAAATAAAGTAAGTAATTTAAAATATAATGTAGGAGATTTGAAAAGTTGTAAAGCATTTATTATGAAATTTAATAGAATAGTCTACCTTGCATATATAAATCTCATTAAAATATGGATTTTAAATTTAAAAAAATGAAAAATAACAAGAAAATGACAAGTAGAAAAACTAATTCAAAAACTCTTAGAAATTGACATGTGTCAAATTCAATGAGATGATGACATTTGACAAAATTGATTTTCATTTATTAGGTTAGATTTAATAGAATAATCTACCTTATATATATAAATCTCACTAAAATATGGATTTTAAATTTAAGAAAATGAAAAATACAAGAAAATGACAAGTGGAAAAACTAATTCAAAAACTCTTAGAAATTGACATGTGTCAAATTCAATGAGATAATGACATTTGGCAAAAATGATTTTCATTTATTAGGTTAGATTTGTGTGTTATTGAATATCATACTATACTTATAAAGGAAGCATTTTTCCTTGAACCTCGTGCATTTGAAACCCCTACAAAAATTTGCAAACACCTCATACATTTGAAACCTCATATTTTAATGAATATCATTCAAAAGTCTCTTAATAATGATTAACAATTCAAAGGTTTATAACTTATATAATATATTTAATAAACAATTAATAGATAGTCTATTATAAAATGTCAATCTCTTTGAGTAGACACACAAATACAAATCACATACAAAATTCACAAAGAAAACAATTTAAAGTTTTTTGTGTTGGTTTGAGGGTTTTGAACCATTTTTCGAGCCATGTTATTATGTTGAAGTTTTTAATTTGTAAGTTTGTTATATACTAATTCTTTTTTGTATTTTCTTGGTTTAAGTATTATTTTAAGTGTAACACCCATAAAAGATCAAGCCAATTTAAAACTTTTTCAAACATCCAAAGCCATTAGTTATTACAAAAGGTTTTTAAAATAGTTTAATATCAGAGTATCCCAGAAATCATAAGTCCAAATCACGAGGATGTGTACGGTCACGCCTTCGTCTTGCGAAAATCATCAGCAGTACCTGAAACAATAAACTAAAACCGTAAGCACAAAGCTTAGTGAGTTTCCCCCAAAATACCCCCACACAAAACAAGCATAAACACAAATACTCATGCCTTGCCCAATCAGCCTCGGGCTGGTATACCAGTATGTCGGGTCCAATCAATCATCGGGTTGGAATACCCAGGGTTTATTGGCCTACCGCCTCAACCCTACCGCTCCTCCCGAGCCTCCGTGCCTACGGCTTACAGCCGGC